TAGCGTTTTATGAGCACGAGAGAGCGAGCTAGCGGCTAATATATACATTTACGACGGCATTCGGCACGACAAAAAAATCTGGGGGGAATCAAGTCAACCGGATTTTGAGAATCTCACACCTGCTCAGCAACAACCGGAGTTGCAAAAACTCAAAAAGATTGACTTGATATAGTGCTAAGGGGTCTTTACACTGCGTAATTTTGCAGTGCTTACGTTTGCCGGGCTGTTTTTTTTTGTCGCAAAAAAAAATGACGAAAATTTTTTTTTTCGAAATTTTTTTTTCTTATCGTCTACGTCAGTTTGGTGCCGAAATTAGACGATTTGGGGTCGATTTCGGATTTTTCAATATTTTGCGAAAATTTTCTCAAAAATTTTAACAAGGTTTTTTTTCTAACGGGTCGGAACGGTGGGTTCGGGTTTGAGTTATCGACTACTAACTATAAACTAGCAACTGAAACCAAAATTTTAACTTTTAGTCAAATTTTTTCGATTTTCGATTTTTTTTTTGGATTTCGGGTTTTCTGGGTGGAGTATTCTGGTTAAACTATTGGCAAAAGCACGGTAAACATAATGAAATCAACATTTTACCACACTGAATGGATTTGATGGGTCACAATAAAAAACTTTAAAGGATCGTAAAACAATTATAGCTCTGGTTTATGAAGAAACTAAACTGAAAAGTTACGTCTTACAATAGTTTTTTTTGTCAACTTCGGCCATCATAAACGGTTGGGGGGATTCCTGTCTCACTTGCAGGTAGCTGTCTGCATACACCTTCGTGAAATTGCACAATCACCTTTCACTGAGGTACTTCTCACTCACAAAAAACTGAGTCGTCAAGAGTTTCGTCTGGTTTGTCGTCGATTGTCGGCGGGCCATGTTTCCACCTGTGTTCGGTCTGTGGTGGGTCGGTCGAGTATATTGTCGGTCTGTAGATTGGCTGTATGTATCTCGATTGAGAAAACGATTGTTCAATATATATATATATATATATATATATATATATATATATATATATATTTCCTTCAATAATTATCGAAAATCATTAAGAGGAAACAACGGAATAGTATCTGTTTCGGAACAAAATTATCAAGTTTTAAACGAAATCGAATTTGAAAGCGACTTTATTGTCACTACTTTTGCCAATAAGTGGGGATTTTCACGCTTGCCAGAAGTTAGAAGTTAATTCTGGCCAAAGTCTAATTAAGTTCATGTCCAGAACATCATTTAAAAACAAGTTTGACTTAGGAACATTTTTTATCCGGTTCAAATCAAGTGTATTGCAAGTTTTTAGTCTTAAAATACTTGGAATTACTGGGATTTGAACCGGCGATTTTTCGGTTTCAGGTCAAGTACGTTACCGCTAGACAAGCTGGTCTTGATATGCTTTCATTTTAGTTTCAATCTTGAACATCTGGTAACTTCCAGTATTTCACCTACTCGATTAGCGACGAATACTGGCTGCTTTGCAGTCGAATGGAGCCATTGTAGCACAGTGGTGCTGTCAGTCCACACAAAGACATTATTTATAGGGATCGAAAGTGCTTTCATGATATCTATTTTGAGGCGTGTAGCAAGCAAAGAAGCTTGCAGCTCTAATTCTTGGATGCAATCAAATCAATTATACTAATGAAAAATAGAACATACTATTTTACTGCTAGAGAAAATAGCAAAAAAAAACAGTTCTTCAAAGTTCTTCAAGATTCAATTCGCAAGCCTTAGTTATTCTTCGCTTACGTAAACAATCTATCACAGGATAATACATACAAATCAGGGGCAGATTTAGAAGGGGCGGGGGGGGGGGGGGGGGGGGGGGGTGCAGACGCTCCCCTCTTCCTCAGGGATTTGACCACCTGCCGACCCAAAGGGTCCCCTCTTTTTAATGTTTTGAGATATCCAATTTGTTGCCAAAATATGCTAATTTTGAAGGGGGAGCGCGCGCCAAAAAAACGCGATTTTCTAGTTAACATTTTCATAAAAGTGCCTGAAAACGCAGAAAATTTGGTCAAAACAGGGTCTCTTGAGTGCTTCGGGAGAGCTCGGAAAATCATTTTGATCCACCTAAAAAAAGTCGACAAAAAATTTGAATTTTTTTTTGAAAATCCACCCCCTCGAGAAAATCCTAGATCCGCGTCCCTGATACAAATAAAGAAACATGGATAATAAAATGCCGTGCTTTTTTTCTTTTTTTTCGGTTTTTTCCACTTCAATCTTCATGCAATGTGGTTAAAACATTCTGTGCTCCTCGCACTGAACGTTTCGACCACAATAAACGAATTTAAAAAAAGCCAAAAGAAAAATAAATTTGAACAAAAAATTTCAGTTTGAAAGTTTTTTTTGGTATTTTTATTGTTGTTTTTTTTTTCAGCAAAAATGAGTGCAGTAAATCGAGAGTCATCTTTTTCATTGTGTTATTTGCAATTTTCCTTTATTCTAAAACACGAGAAAAATCAGATCAATTTTTCTCTACACAAAAAAGGCTTCAATGTGATATCATACTTGAAACCTTATAAGCTTAGATTGAGGCACCTAAAATTGGACAGAAAAAACCCCACTTTATGCAATAGTTCCTTCACATGTTGTAAATAGACAAAACAAGAGTTTTGATAGCTGGTGAAAATTAAAAATGGAAGAAGTTCAAACAAAATTCACCAAACATTTAAACAGAAAACTAGCCACAAAAAGAACAAGTGAATTAAAGTTTTTGATTGAATTAAGTTAAACAAAACTAATGTTAATGATAAGTAAAAAGTGCTTAGAACATCGGGATGAAAAGTTTTTCAATAAAAATTAAAATCCATGTTTCTAAGCACAAGAAAAAACTTAGCTGGCCAAATTTTAAAAAATTTAATATAACAGTTTTTATATAAGGGTCTTTTCATACATAAAGTATGATTCGACTGCAATCGACAATTATCGCCAAAAATTCTTCAAAATAAAGAGGAAGTTTTTCAAAAAGCAATTTTCTAATGTTTTTTCCACAAAAAAAAACAATTTTTTTTTAGAAAGTTTTTCACGCCAAAGAAGCGTTAAATCAAACTTACGAATTTAGTTTTGTTTTATCTATATAATCATCAAGTTTTCTTAGCCTAAAGCACCAGTTTTCATATAACGAACGTTACTCTATCGCTGTGCTCGCCCAAAATTAGACAAAAATGAAAAATTTCAAACCGTTTGTCACGACTCTGGAAAAAAGCACACCAAGCATAAATATTCCGTTTTCTTCGAAAGTCGGAACAACAACTAAAATAGTATTGAAATAAAAAAATTCAGGCGGACAATGAACAATTTCAAATGAAACTAAATATAGAACTTGTGGGCTCAATGTTCTTCTGGTTTCAAGATCACTAGTTAAACAAGTTAGTTAGCTTAAACTTGTGTCTTAAATGACATGACGCTCTTGTTTCAATTCTTCAGATCACTTGATGCCATTTATTATAAGTTTGATAGATATTGATTTTAATTTTTTAAGTTTAATCAGGGCAGGATTCTTAATTTGATACAAAAGTTTTTATCTTTCAAATAAAAATTTACCGTCTAGCACATTCATTTTTGCAAAAAACGGCAAAATAAGCCATACACGGTAAAGTAAACAAGCATTTAGCAAAGCATAGATTTTGGTACATTCTTGTTTTCTTTACCGGATATGGCTTATTTTTCCGTTCAAACCATTTTGGAGGAGAAACAAAATGTAGAGTTCAACCCAATTGTGGTTGCACGAATTAAAAAAATATCAAAAAAGTTGATAATTAACAAACAATTGTCCATTTTTAGCCTACTTTCTTATAATTTCTCTGTTGGTAAAATAGTATGAGAAATACAAAATCGTCGATTAATTTTTTATCGATACTGAAAAAATTTCTGTGAAACTTAATAAAGGAATGACGACTGAAATGATTGTATAGGCTATAAAATACAAACAAGATCTTTTATCGTTCCGACCATTGAAAATGGGGAGGAACTTTGGATTGGGGTGTGATTTAGTTTTTTTTTCCTTTTTTCATTTTTTTTATTTCCATGCTAAATCAGGTACCACAAATAATCATCGGACAGGTTCTAGTGATATAACATATTAAAGCCTTTCTAGTCGTTATTCGAACCACGAAGAAAAAAATTCAACAAAAGTTTCCTAGTGTTGAGAAAAACTGGTTCAAATTTTTTGATTTTTCGTCTTTCTTTGAGCGAGTAAAGCGATCGGGTTAACGTTTGTTACATTTGAAATTTGGGAAATTTAGGCTAATAAAGCTTCATTTTCGTAAAAAGAAAACAAGTTTTGAAAACTTCATCCAGCTCTTTTCTGGCAAAAAAAAACAATTTCAAAAAATTTAGTGTAATTTAGTGTCACAATTTTACAATTTTAGTGCAAAAAATTGAAAATTTTTGTAGTTTTTTTTGAAGACCATTTATTTAGTTTTGCCTAAATGACTAAATGTCAACGCGTTTGTATTGTTCGATCATCATACGACGTGCAAAAAAGACATTACTGGAAGAAAAAAAGAAAAAAGTTTTTAAAATGTGGTCGGAACATTCTGTGCTACTTGCACATCAAATTAACCTACACAAATTTGAGATAAAATTTTCAGTTCAATTGGATCGGCAAGCGATTAGTAGCAAGTTTTTTACCCGCTTCATTAGGACTCCTGGTGTTCACTATCAGATCATGTATTAACTTAAAGGCAGTTTGGAACGTTGTCTCAATCAGGAAGACTAAATGCTTCATAACCCAAATGTACGCGATTCGAAACCCGTAGTCGAATAACTGTGTTTATTTTTCAAATCTTATTTACTTAACTTTTTTCTTGCAGTTTCAAAGCTCCTATTTGCCGCTTTTTGCTTGTGTTTGTGAAGTTCAATTTGGCCGAAATGTTATTTTCATAAAATTTGATTCCTAGCGAGCCTTTATGGGGTTAATTGACTTTATTATGGGGAATATGGGAACAATTGAATTTAAAATTTTAATACAAAAGTTAAAATAGATTCTAAGGTTTCGTACTTTTCAGAGGCTGACCTGCCTTTGATTGCTGCGCACGCAGTGCAGACCACAGCCCTGATCTCCAAAGAGAGGGAATACACTGAGGCGAAGAAGATGGCCAAATCCAAGAAGAACTGGTTCGCCAATTTGTAAGTAGAATCTAAACCTTTTTAAAACCACACATTTTAATAGCAATTCAAGACACATCAGTAAAATACAGCTTAATTTCACGTACATCCAATATTTCATTAGAACTGATGACTAGGAAGAAACAAATAAATCGATATTTAGATTTTTTGCTAATATTTTTAAGCATCCAGAGAAAAACTTTTCGTTTAGTATTGCCCGCACTGGAGTTCCAAGGATAATAATTAATTATATTGTCATTTTATAATCAGTATCTATACAATTACAAAAATAATCGATTATAATCCATCAAAAATGGATTATAATCCATTATTTTTTATATCATTATAATCCCTTATAATTGGTTATAATCAATTATAATGGATTTCTTTGATGATTAGTCATGAAATTTACAACTTTTTTTTCAAAGTTCTCGCATTTCCCGTTTGGCGCAGTTGCTACGTATTAGGTTTCATAAAATATTACAATTCTCTTTTCAATTTTTTAAATTTTTGTCTTAAATACCTTGTTTTCCTCCCTGTTTACACCCCCTTTGTGAAACCCCCCCCCCCCCCCCCGTTTTCCTCCCTGTTTACACCCCCCGTTTTCCCCCCTCCCACCTCCCTGCCAGTTTACCACAACCGCCATTCGCCCCCTTTACGGGGGTTATTTATTGGTAGACTTTGGGGGAGGGGTTTATGATTTACACCCCCCCCCCCCTGTTTATACGAAAAACGACAAAATAATCGATTACGTGGTCTAAATTTGCCACAATAATGGATTATAATGACAACATTTTAGACAACAATTTTCCATTATAAACGATTATTATCCATGGAACTCCGGTGCGGGTGAATTTCAGTTATGTAAGATACTTATGTAAGGCACGAGATCAAGATAATTTCTCTAATATTTGATGATCAAATTGAGAACTGTTCTGTCGTGTCTTTTTCTTATCTAAAAGTTGGTTTATAATACTTCAGAAAGAATTTCAAACGATAAACAAGACTGCTGGTATCAGGGCAAACACGTGAATGTTCCGATTGCCTTTGAACGTCTATGGAGTAGTGATCGCTTTTAAACAATGTAATGAAATTTTCCGAAAAAGACAAGTGATGAAAATAGTCTTAGACTTTTTTTTGAAAATCATCCTCACACGCTAAATAAAGTTTAAGGTTATATGCTTTGTGTATAGCAAAGCAATCAAGGAACCAAATAACATGCCTCAATTCAATTTTAACGATTTCTAAGATGGAATAAATCTCCGCTTACACGTTTTTTTAAAATAAATTTGAACTCATAGGTCAGGACAACAATACCTTTTGAACGATAAAAATCACGACAAAAATTGCTAGTTAAGAAGTCAAATTTTGTCTAGAGAAAAAAAGCACCCCGAGCACAAACATTCAGTCACCTTGTTTGAAAATCGGAACTAATTTTAAAACTTTTTAAAAAACAAAACAAAGGCAAGCCGTTGCAAAGTTATAATTATTTGATTGTATTGATCGTTTTCCAAAAAAAGTTCTGTTTTTCCCATAAGTTTTTGCTTTTGTTCGATTTTTCCTGATCTAATCCGCATATGAGCTTCTTTTCGGCTAAGCTTTGCTCTCGTCACAAAATTTCGCTGCAATTCGGAGTTGTCGGGCTTATAAACCCCATACTCGGAAAATCCCGGTGCCAGACTTCAGCAGAGTTTTTTCTGCTTCGGGTCCAAGACTTTCAAAACTAGTTCCATAAATTTGAAGGATAATCGGATAAGTACCGCCTCGCTTTGACCATCGGCCAGTGCGAGTCTGTTTGATTTACTCATTTTAATGAATGATCGCCATAAAGAGTGGGCATAAAATCTTTTTTTTTTTGCGAAAGTCGGAACAAAGCCGGGAGCATAAAGTCGTTTTTTCGCAAGAAGAGGAGTAAAAAGACGTCAAGAGTTTTACTAATTCATATTTTAAGGGCGATTGAGAGATTAAGCGATTTGAGAAACTTTCTGAACATAGCAAAAATTATTGCCTGAAGTCAGGGGCGGATCTAGGATTTTCTCGAGGGTTGGGGGTTTGGCGGACTTTCAAAAAAAATTCGAAAAATTTTTTTTTAAGTCGAATACATTGATTTTTTGAGCTCTCCCAAATCACTATAAATACCCCATTTTGACGGTAGTTTTTTGGAAGGCGTTTTTAGGCAGTTTTTGGAAAATTTTGAAGGCGTTTTTAGGCAGCTTTTGGAAAATTTTGAAGGCTTTTTTAGGCATTTTTTGGAAAATTTTGACGGAAAAACTGCGCACTCACCCCTTAAAATTAGTGTATATTGGCACCAAAGGCACGTTAAGAAAAATTTTAGGTTACCTCACCAAAAATAGATACAAAATAGTACAAAGGGGGGACCCTTTGGGTCGTCATGGGGTCGAATCCCTAAGGGAAGGGAACGTCCGCCCCATCCTAAATCTGCAAGGGCGGACGCTCCCTTCCCTTAATAATGTTGATGAAGTATAAAATTTTGTTGATGAAGTATAAAATTTTTTTTCTCTCAATATCCTCCTAATTAAAAGCAAGCATCCTTTTGATTAGCAATTATCTGCTACTTGTCCAACAACTGGTTGGTTACGCAGGTTATAACTTTAACATTGGTTTCAGGAAACAAGTACGAGGATCCAAGTACAATTACACGGCGGACGAGTTAACTGCCCTCGAGAACGTAGACTCTCACTTGGACTGTTACTACAGAGATCTTAGTCACCAACAAGAGGTAAACCAACTTCTCCATGTGGAAAATTGAGTTGAGTTGATTTAAAAGTTTCAAGACAAATTTATAACCAATTTCCGTAACCAATGACCGTAACCAATTTCCGAAATAACTGTAGCCAATTTCCGTCAAATTAGCTCAAAAAATTACGACCAAATTAGTTCAAAAAAAAGCTGGAACAAAAAATTTTGTAAATATGTAACTAACAAAAAAATCAGGTTCATATTCTTCTCATTTCATGTCAGAGCCACACATGTAGCTGTTAATTAAAAACCACTTTGCTACTATTTGATGGCATTTTTGGACTAATAATCCAACGAGTTATCTAAAGGCGCTTTTGGCGCCAATATTTACTAATTTTAAGGGGCACGCGCCAAAAAAACGAATTTTTTTAAAATCAAAAAGTGCCAAAAAACGGCGTGTTTCCCTGTTTGCGGTCTGGAAGGAGTCTAGAAGCAGTCATTTCTTAAAACAATTGGGTCTATTTACTGTTTTGGGTTACCGTGGGAATTGAATTAGGTCAATTTTAACCATTTATGAATCCCCTCCACGCGCACTGGAGTTCCATGAATAATAATCGTTTAAATTGTCATTTTATAGTCAGTATTTATAAAATTACAAAAACAATCGATTATAATCCATCAAAATGCATTATAAACCAATATTTTCTATATAAATATAATCCAATATAATCGATTATAATCGATTATAAACCATTAAAAATGGATTTATTTTCTTAAATTTTTCATGCCTATATAATCGGTTATAATCAAATTTAATGGATTTTTTGAGAAGTTAGTCACGGAAATTACAATTTAGTTCAAAGTTATCGCATTTCCTGTCTAGTGCAGTTGCTACGTATTAGGTTTGATAAAATGTTACGTTTCACTTTTCAATTTTTATAATTTTTGTCTTATAGACCCCGCTCACCCCCTCCCTGTTTACCCCTAACCCCTGTTTACACCCCCCTCGTTTTCCTCCATGTTTACACCGTCCCACCCGTTTAACAGCCCCCATCCCCCGGTTTTCCTACCTGTTTACACCCCCGCTTACAACCCCCCCCCCCCCCCCACACACAGTTTACCCCTCCTCAATTTACCCCCCCCCCCCCCCATCTTAGTCTACACCCCCACCCCTTTACTGAACGTGGTAGGGGGGGGGGGGGGGGGTAGAAATGTGGGGGAAGGTAACCTGAACAACTGAGTATACTTACTCCCCCGTCCCCGTTCAAAATGGTAAGCTGGGGGGGTTGGGGTATAAATTTTAGTTAACATAAATGAGGTGGGCGTAGGGATAAAGGCATGGGAAAGGGGGGTGGGTGTTTATCCAAATGCGGATGAGGGGCAAAAGGGGGTTGGTAATTCGAGTAGGTTTAGACTGCGAGTAGGTCGTGAGTAACGCAGAAATGCTGCAAGTTTTGCAAAGGCTTTTGCATAAAAAATGTGTAGATTATAATCAGTTATAATCAATTATAATCGATTTTAAATGGATTATAATCCATTATAATGGATTTTAATGGATTGTGTTTTAACGAAAGTGATCGTTTATAATGACAATATAATCGATTACGTGGTCTAAATTTGCCACAATAATGGATCATAATGACATCATTTTAGACAACATTTTTCCATTATAATCGATTATTATATATGGAACTCCGGTGCGGGCAGCGCTGCGAAACTCTTAGATCCGCGCGTGGGTGAAAGGATGAGAGTAGTCTCTAGAAAAGCACAAACTCATTGAAAGAGAAACAAATAGCTTAGAAACTTCTGAGACAAAGTCTTATTGGAACGTGTCATAACTCGAAGTTGTTTGTTGCACCTATTTCGAGTTTTTAACTTTCAGGCGGAGCTCATGAGCTGCGGACGAAACTTGTCCGATGATGACAGCGATGATGGATCGATAGGGAGCAAGTTGAAGTCTAGACAAGTAAGTATGAGACAAATAACGTCTAACAAGCAGCCATTGCTAAAAACAGATCTAAGGTCAACGTGCCAAAGCAATGAAACGCGCAACAGGATACCAGCCTTCTAATAGCCCCTCCCCCCGCCGGTTACGTTTTTATTACCACCCGAAGCAGTTTTGGACCACCTTTAGAGCAAGTAAGACAAAAATGCGTGTCGTTAAGTAGTGTCAAAGGGGGCCCTTTAGTGGGAGAGGGGGGTCAAGTTATTGCACTTCTTAATAAACAGTGGCATCCTCTGCGATCTCTTAAAAACCCGCATGTGAAAATGATTTTTTTTAAAATTCTAGATGAAAAAGCAAGAGCGAGTGAAGACACAGAAAGACACCTCTGCCAGCGTCATGTTCCAGAACTCTAAGATGACCAAAAGTTCTATAATGTCCAAAAAGTAGAGATGGATGAATGTGCTATGCCATTAATACAATCAATCATAAGCTCTTTTTTAGTTCTCCGTAAATTTACAAAATAGAAAAGCATAAAATTTTTATACGGAAATTTGCATATTGCCAAAATAGGTCAAATCAGTTTAGTAAATTTCAGAAAATATATTTTGAAACACTGTTTCGGATTACTGATACACTGGTTTAATGACCAACAACCGGCAGACATATTGAGTGAGCACCGCAACTGGGGTTATAGTGGAGTACATTGAGCAACAGAAGAGATGACAACAGTGGCATATGATTAACTGTATAAACTGCTTACATCAAAAACTGATGGCTTCTTAATTAGTTAAGCCCAAACTTAAAGCAAAGATATAAATACGGTTGGCCAATCTTAATGCATGCCAAATTTCAACACAATCGATAAAGTTCATGTGAGCACGGTTGGAGTGTGCCCTTTAATTTTCAATGTTGCGATTAGGCTTACATAATATTCTGGGCCAAAATAGTAAAAAGATGCAAATTGATGTATCAATTCATTAATATATTGTTTCTCTGTAAGTGTCGCTACGTGTCAGGGGCAGATTTAGGGGGAGGGTTGGTGGAACGCCACTTTGCTTAGGAATTTGACCTCTTGCCGACACAAAAGGTCCCCCCTTTGTACTATTTTGAGATATCTATTTTTTGGTAAGAGGCTAAAAAGGCTTTTTTGGCCCGTTTTTTCAAAATTTGCATGCGGCGCGAAAAGTTCGGCCAAAACAGGGTCTTTTAAGTGCTTTGGTAGAACTCCTCGGAAATCAATTTGGTCGATCTGAAAAAAGGTCGACAAAAAATGTGGCATTGTGACGCATCGGTAGTGATGTTGCCCAGCAATCAGATGATTGCGAGTATAAATCGCACGTGCGCTGCAATTTGTAAGGTGAGCTCCAGTAAGATAGCCATAGCTTGGTCAACCCTATAAAATTAACCTTCGGGTTAGTCCTCTGGCTAGCTAACTATAAAAAAAAATTGAAATTCTTTCAACAACCCAGAGAAAATCCTAGATCCGCCCATGCTACGTGTCCTGTTGAGGGAAGTCTTCGTAGCCGCCTGTAGTGGTGAGGAGCAGGTGTCTCTTCATCCTCCCACAAACAATCCACGCCACCAGTCCCACTAGAACCCCCACTGCACAAACAGCCGCCACACACACTAGGAAACAGAAAAAAACATAGTATTAGAAACATCATTCAACACAAAATCCACACTAGCAGTCCCACTAGAACCCCCACTGCACACACAGCCGCCACACACACTAGGAAACAGAAAATAACATTGTATTAGAAACATCATTCAACACAAAATCCACACTATCAGTCCCACTAGAACCCCCACTGCACAAACAGCCGCCACACACACTAGAAAACAGAAAAAAACATAGTATTAGAAACATCATTCAACACAAAATCCACACTAGCAGTCCCACTAGAACCCCCACTGCACACACAGCCGCCACACACACTAGGAAACAGAAAATAACATAGTATTAGAAACATCATTCAACACAAAATCCACACTAGCAGTCCCACTAGAACCCCCACTGCACACACAGCCGCCACACACAATAGGAAACAGAAAATAACATAGTATTAGAAACATCATTCAACACAAAATCCACACTACCAGTCCCACTAGAACCCCCACTGCACAAACAGCCGCCACACACACTAGGAAACAGAAAAAAAAACATAGTATTAGAAACATCATTCAACACAAAATCCACGCTAGCAGTCCCACTAGAACCCCCACTGCACACACAGCCGCCACACACACTAGGAAACTGAAAATAACATAGTATTAGAAACATCATTCAAAACAAAATCCACACTACAAGTCCCACTAGAACCCCCACTGCACAAACCGCCGCCACACACACTAGGAAACAGAAAAAAAACATAGTACTAGAAACATCATTCAACACAAAATCCACACTAGCAGTCCAACTAGAACCCCCACTGCACACACAGCCGCCACACACACTAGGAGACAGAAAATAACATAGTATTAGAAACATCATTCAACACAAAATCCACACTCGCAGTCCCATTAGAAATCCCACTACACAAACAGCCGCCACACACACTAGGAAACAGAAAATAACATAGTATTAGAAAAATCATCCAACACAAAACCCACACTAGCAGTCCCACAAGAACCCCCACTGCACAAACACCCGCCACAAACACTAGGAAACAGAAAATAACATAGTATTAGAAAATCATCCAACCCAAAATCCACACTAGCAGTCCCACTACAACCCCCACTGCACAAACAGCCGCCACACACACTAGGAAACAGAAAATAACATAGCATTAGAAACATCATTCAACACAAAATCCACACCAGCAGTCCCATTAGAACTCCCACTGCACAAACAGCTGTCACACACACTAGGAAACAGAAAATAACATAGTATTAGAAACATCATTCAACAAAAAATCCACACTAGCAGTCCCACTAGAACCCCCACTGCACAAACAGCCGCCACACACACTAGGAAACAGAAAATAACATAGTATAAGAAACATCATTCAAAACAAAATCGACACTAGCAGTCTCACTAGAACCCCCACTGCACAAACAGAACAAACAGCCGTCACACACACTAGGAAACAGAAAATAACATAGTATTAGAAACATCATTCAACAAAAAATCCACACTAGCAGTCCCACTAGAACCCCCACTGCACAAACAGCCGCCACAAACACTAGGAAACAGAAAATAACATGTTATTAGAAACATCATTCAACACAAAATCGACACTGGCAGTCCCACTAGAACACCCACTGCACAAACAGCCGCCACACACACTAGGAAACAGAAAATAACATAGTATTAGAAACATCATCCAACACAAAATCCACACCAGCAGTCCCATTAGAACTCCCACTGCACAAACAGCCGCCACACACAGTAGGAAATAGAAAATAACATAGTATTAGAAACATCATCCAACCCAAAATCCACACCAGCAGTCCCACTAGAACCCCCACTGCACACACAGCCGCCACACACACTAGGAAACAGAAAATAACATAGTATTAGAAGCATCATTTAACACAAAATCCACACCAGCAGTCCCACTAGAACCCCCACTGCACAAACAGCCGCCACACACACTAGGAAACAGAAAAAAACATAGTATTAGAAACATCATTCAACAAAAAATCCACACTAGCAGTCCCACTAAAACCCCCACTGCACAAACAGCCGCCACACACACTAGGAAACAGAAAATAACATAGTATTAGAAACATCAATCAACACAAAATCGACACTAGCAGTCCCACTAGAACCCCCACTGCACAAACAGAACAAACAGCCGCCACACACACTAGGAAACAGAAAATAACATAGTATTAGAAACATCATTCAACAAAAAATCCACACTAGCAGTCCCACTAGAACCCCCACTGCACAAACAGCCGCCACACACACTAGGAAACAGAAAATAACATAGTATTAGAAACATCATTCAACAAAAAATCCACACTAGCAGTTCCACTAGAACCCCCACTGCACAAACAGCCGCCACACACACTAGGAAACAGAAAATAACATAGTATTAGAAACATCATTCAACACAAAATTGACACTAGCAGTCCCACTAGAACCCCCACTGCACAAACAGAACAAACAGCCGTCACCCACACTAGGAAACAGAAAATAACATAGTATTAGAAACATCATCCAACCCAAAATCCACACTCGCAGTCCCATTAGAAATCCCACTGCACAAACAGCCGCCACACACACTAGGAAACAGAAAATAACATAGTATTAGAAAAATCATCCAACACAAAACCCACACTAGCAGTCCCACAAGAACCCCCACTGCACAAACAGCCGCCACACACACTAGGAAACAGAAAATAACATAGTATTAGAAAATCATCCAACACAAAATCCACACTAGCAGTCCCACTAGAACACCCACTGCACAAACAGCCGCCACACACACTAGGAAACAGAAAATAACATAGTATTAGAAACATCATCCAACACAAAATCCACACCAGCAGTCCCATTAGAACTCCCACTGCACAAACAGCCGCCACACACACTAGGAAACAGAAAATAACATAGTATTAGAAAAATCATCCAACACAAAACCCACACTAGCAGTCCCACAAGAACCCCCACTGCACAAACAGCCGCCACACACACTAGGAAACAGAAAATAACATAGTATTAGAAACATCAATAAACACAAAATCCACACTCGCAGTCCCATTAGAAATCCCACTGCACAAACAGCCGCCACACACACTAGGAAACAGAAAATAACATAGTATTAGAAAAATCATCCAACACAAAACCCACACTAGCAGTCCCACAAGAACCCCCACTGCACAAACAGCCGCCACACACACTAGGAAACAGAAAATAACATAGTATTAGAAAATCATCCAACACAAAATCCACACTAGCAGTCCCACTAGAACACCCACTGCACAAACAGCCGCCACACACACTAGGAAACAGAAAATAACATAGTATTAGAAACATCATCCAACACAAAATCCACACCAGCAGTCCCATTAGAACTCCCACTGCACAAACAGCCGCCACACACACTAGGAAATAGAAAATAACATAGTATTAGAAAGATCATTCAACAAAAAATCCACACTAGCAGTCCCACTAGAACCCCCACTGCACAAATAGCCGCCACACACACTAGGAAACAGAAAACAACATAGTATTAGAAACATCATTCAACACAAAATCGACACTAGCAGTCCCACTAGAACACCCACTGCTCAAACAGCCGCCACACACACTAGGAAACAGAAAATAACATAGTATTAGAAACATCATCCAACACAAAATCAACACCAGCAGTCCCATTAGAACTCCCACTGCACAAACAGCCGCCACACACACTAGGAAATAGAAAATAACATAGTATTAGAAAGATCATTCAACAAAAAATCCACACTAGCAGTCCCACTAGAACTCCCACTGCACAAATAGCCACCACACACACTAGGAAACAGAAAACAACATAGTATTAGAAACATCATTCAACACAAAATCGACACTAGCAGTCCCACTAGAACACCCACTGCTCAAACAGCCGCCACACACACTAGGAAACAGAAAATAACATAGTATTAGAAACATCATCCAACACAAAATCCACACCAGCAGTCCCATTAGAACTCCCACTGCACAAACAGCCGCCACACACACTAGGAAATAGAAAATAACATAGTATTAGAAAGATCATTCAACAAAAAATCCTAACTAGCAGTCCCACTAGAACCCCCACTGCACAAATAGCCGCCACACACACTAGGAAACAAAACAACATAGTATTAGAAACATCATTCAACACAAAATCGACACTAGCAGTCCCACTAGAACCCCCACTGCACAAACAGAACAAACAGCCGTCACACACACTAGGAAACAGACATTAACATAGTATTAGAAACATCATCCAACCCAAAATCCACACTACCAGTCCCACTAGAACCACCACTGCACACACAGCCGCCACACACACTAGGAAACAGAAAATAACATAGTATTAGAAAAATCATCCAACACAAAACCCACACTAGCAGTCCCACAAGAACTCCACTGCACAAACAGCCGCCACACATACTAGGAAACAGAAAATAACATAGTATTAGAAAATCATCCAACACAAAACCCACACTAGCAGTCACACTAGAACCCCCACTGCACAAACAGCCGCCACACACACTAGGAAACAGAAAATAACATAGTATTAGAAACATCATTCAACACAAAATCGACACTAGCAGTCCCACTAGAACCCCCACTGCACAAACAGAACAAACAGCCGTCACACACACTAGGAAACAGAAAATAACATAGTATTAGAAACATCATTCAACAAAAAATCCACACTAGCAGTCTCACTAGAACCCCCACTGCACAAACAGCCGCCACACACACTAGGAAACAGAAAATAACATAGTATTAGAAACATCATTCAACACAAAATTGACACTGGCAGTCCCACTAGAACCCCCACTGCACAAACAGAACAAACTGCCGTCACACACACTAGGAAACAAAAAATAACATAGTATTAGAAACATCATCCAACCCAAAATCCACACTACCAGTCCCACTAGAACCCCCACTGCACACACAGCCGCCACACACACTAGGA